TCCTTGGACATAACAATATGGTAAAAGATTTTTTATCATTAAATTAATATATTAATTTGAAATCATTAATATATTAATTTATATTAAGATAAAGTTATGGAGATTAATAGAGGCTTATTCAATACTATATATATAATGTGAGAGATGGAATTTGGTGGAAGATACATGCTAATGCATGATGTATAATTTATTTACATTGAATTCGGTGAAATCTCTCTTTTCGATAAATATTTATTATAATTTTCTGATTCTTTATCAAATTTGTTAATTAATTTATTTATCTCAATTTATGATCATGTGAATTTATGTATGTCAGCCTCTTAGCCTTTTTTTTTTGTTACGGATAAAATTAGATTTAAATATTGTTTATTATGAAAAATATTTCCTATAATATTTGATTAGATTTTTTCTTTTGCACAAACTTTTTTAGGATATGTTTATATTAAGAAAATTAATATAAAAAGATACATGCATTCAACCATTATTTGGATAAAGTCACGAGAGCATAACTTCTTTACAGTAAATTTGATGAAAACTTCTTTGAATTTCGGTAAACATTTAAAACATTTATTATTGTGATTTTTTTTTCTTTCATCAAATTTGTGGATTAATTTATTTATGTGAATTTATTATTATGTCATCGTTCGTTGTATGTAACTATATTAAATTTCTATATATATAAAAAAAATTGTTGCGCATTTTGTCACCATCGATTCAATCAAATATTGCTGACGAAATCAATCGTCTACGAATCTCTACAAATCGAACCACCAGTACAATCATAGAACGGGAGAGCGAATCGAGATTTGGTTGTGGAAAGACACGACGTGGTGTACCGGATTAGATCTGGAGAGACATTGTACTTTTGCTATAGTAATAAAATTATATATTATAACCCATAAATAATATAAATACAAAAAATGTCCATAATACAAAAAAAATATTTCGTCATATTATCTTAACACATTTCAAATAATACATTTCAAATTTATTTCTGAATTTTATTTGAAAATATGAACTAGAAATACAAAATATTGTATTTAATTTTAAAACTAATAAAATTATTTAAAAGTTTCTATATATTTTTAGTCCCCGCGATGTCCGCGGATCATTATCTAGTATATATAAAAGTATGTGAGTAGGGTGTGACACATAGGATGAACACAATATCCGAAAAAACCGAACCGATCCGTATCTGAACTGAAAAATTCGGATATCTGGAATCTACGGATTGGATACGGATATAGTGTTTTTAAAATAGTTATCGGATACGGATCGGATACGAATATCAAAACTGAATTATTCGACATATCTGATCCGATACGTATCTTTTAGCAACATTAATAAATATAGGATAATTTTGTAAATAGTTATTGTAGAGGATTTACCCTCTCGAATACCTCACCGATGTCCTCTCCGATTCACACGTTCGTGCCAAGAACAGAAAAGAAAGGAGACACCGGAGTTACGAGTTCGGTATCGAGCTCTAACACTCGATACCTATGTCTCGGGAAGAGGGAACCGCTATTTGCTAGGTACAACACATAAACACGCCGGAGACTCGACCGGAGTCGACTACAGCGCAACCGGAGAACCGAAGTTCGCCCAGAGAGAGAGAGAGAAGAGAAACCCTAGAGAGAAGACCCAAAAAACGCAAGTGTTCTGAAAACCGAAAACCCTAGGACTCATAACGCGTCCCTTACAATTTTTCCAAACTACCCCTCAGAGTCTCTGCTTCATTCCGAGGCTTTGGAAGCCTCCAAACGGATCAGCGGGTTTGGACGAAGAACGCTTCCTACAAATCTCCACCTTCTTCTTGAAAACCTGCAAAACAAATATGAAGCAAACACGCCAACATCCCTAACACGCTAAGTTCCCTTTTTTACTTCCATTTTAACTCCACCTCCCGGCATGATCCAAGGCGCATTGGAACACCGTTATTAGAGGAGTTCTTACTGAGCGTGTCATAAACACGACTCATCGTGACACGACGCACCTAACCTACCCAAGCGAGTGTCCCCCGACACCTCCGCTTCCGAAGGCTACCTAAGACCTAGACTAGTACCTAGGCTAGTATGGCTCCCTAGACCGTCTAAATGACCCCCTCCGGTGAAGTCTATACCTCACCAATGGCCCCCCGAGGGTCACACCCCGACATCTACCCGTCTCCCGAGTCTACCCCGACTACCCCGAGATTAACCTTGAGTCATACTAGCAAACCTAAATCTTGATCCCCGTAAAGATCAAGCGACCTATGACCTCTACCCCAGACCCCTCCTACCGACTAAGGTGCCCCCACGGGTTTTACCCCGTGAAGACTCCCCTAGTCGACCTATAGAAACTCTACCGAAGGCTCGGAACACGTGCAAGCACGTGCTTCACCCCGAGAGGAAACGCCCCTAGCGCTACTACCTTCACCGACTCTACCCGGTGACATGACATTTCCTCGCTCGCCCTTTCCCCTGAGCTTCCTACCCGAGGTAACTCCACCTAGACGTGGAGACCTCACCTCCGAACCTCCACCCGAGAAGTAGTCAGAGCATACTAGAAGTACCTCCGAATCATACTTCTGAACCGAGACTACTACCCCCTTACCCTCGGTCTCCTCCTTCGCCCTACGGGACCTACACTCCTTCTTATAGTGTCCCTTCTTGCCGCAATACCAACACTCCACCTGGTCTTTGGCCTTCTTCTTCCCGCCACCCGATTTCTCGGGTTTGCCATTGACCACTAATCCTTCCCCCGTACCCCGAGTAAGGGTACCCTGAGCTAGAAGCTCTAGCTCCTTCATCCTAGCTGCGGCCTTCACCTCCTCCACCGAGATTGTAGCTCGGGCATATTTCAGGACTTCCCTCAGCTGC